GTGTATTATGTCTCATAGGCACCTGAGCGTCCACTTAAGTCCAAAGTGTCTGGAGTTAGGATCCATCAGTTTTTATCTACTCTGCATCATACACACAGCAAAAGGAAACAAAGTCCCCAGTTCCATATGGGCAATTGAAACAAAGCTCTTTTGGCTGAAGAGCACTGCAGGTGTAGCTTGCTGAAGTAAACCTATTGTGTGTGAAATGTGCTTTGTTGCAGTTTTGTTTGTAGGATAAGGAATTCCAGTGAATGCATAGTGTATTGCAGTTATCTTATTCTTGGCTTTTATAAGACACAGTATAAACTATTAACTATAAAAACGCTCTGTGACCTATGCCTACTGGGATGAGTCTCAAGTTCTTTAATTGCACTCTGTTGATGGGTTTATATTGTATCTTATAACATTTCAGTGTTTAGAAGGAAATCTCACATGAAATTAAAGCTGAGACTTTTCCCTTTTGAGCTGAACTCTCTCTAATAAAGGGTTTATATGAGCTATCTGCAACTCTCCAGTGAGCTAAAGGGTTATAATGCTGTTTATTCTCTGGCATGTCATGTGTCTTAGCAGACTAGCATCCTGGGTTCTTCAGAAGACAGTTGGAGGGATTTACATCAGCAGTGAGTAAAGATGTCTGATATGGCCATTCAGATATGCAGCTGAGCCACCTGTCTGCGTAAAATCAGTGGAAGGGATCAGAAGCAGATCCTCTAATCAGTCCTCTAATTTCCATGCAAGAGAAGGGAGCTGAGTTTGTACTCTCCCTCCCCTTACACGATGGTAAGCACTATAGCCTCTGCCTCCACATTGGATATATTCTTAAAAATTGGTAGAGATTCTCAGCATTAGAATCATGTTGTGGTCCTTGCAGTTCTCCTAGAAAACAGAAATAACTGGCCATAGGATCTTTGAAGTGAAAGCTGTATCTTCATCTTTCCAGCATATCCAGCTAGAGGGGGGGGGAAAAAAAAGATAAGGAAAAAAACTCCTATAGATTGCAGTCTGCATAGATGGCAGAGAGGTTAGTGCATGAGTGAGGGGCACTCTGCAACGTCATGAGAAGGAGAGCATTCAGGCCCATTTCTCAAAGGGAAGTGAGCTGTAGCTGTGAATCTGCATTATGCTGTTTCTCCCTTTACGCTACTGTCCTTCACCTTTCCAAATTGTTTGGAAGCCAACGCACCAGTGCTACACTTCAAATGTGAGTGTCCTGCAGTTAAGGGAACAAATAAGGTAGTAGATAGAGAAGAACAACTTACAGGGAACACACTTTTGCACATGCTGATTAATTGAGCTGTGTCGGTGGCCTTGTAATGCTGCTGGAGGCGCTGTGGTGCCTGCAGGTTTTCCCAGCTGCTTTAGTCTGTATGTGTCATGGAAAGATTAATGCTGTGACATAAGGCTATAAAGTGACCTGGTGTGTCTCTGTGATGACTTTTGGAACTGGTACGTAAGGTTGCTCTCCAGCTTTATTGTTTTGTTTTTAATGAGCTATTATCTTCCTGCAGGATGCTGCAAATAGTGGCATGGTTTCTCAGTAATGCATAGGGACTGAAAAAATGTCCTTTTATGGTAATCTCTTAAATGTGATGCTGTTTTCAGTAAGGAGTTAATGTTGAAAGATTATTGTTGAAGATACAGTGGATCACTATGTCTTTGAAGAGCAACAAACAAAACCCTGAAGCAAAGATCCTGATGATGTTAACACCTACATGATCTACTAGCTACCAAAAATACTGGTCACAAATCTTACCATGTTTTAAGCTGTCCTAGAATGACTTTTCCTAGCAGAACTATTTCAGTCTGTGGTTTAACACATGACCATAAAATCTTTTTCATTTTTTTTATTAAGATGGGACTACTGGTTATAGCTCTGGCTGCTACATGTTATACAGCAGGTTCTGTTCATGCAGGCTGATAAAACTGAAACATGTTCAAATGTGGTGGGACTGAATGTTGGGAAAACCTTCTAATTTCAAGGCACTTCTGTCTCATTTAATCCCCTATTTTTTTTTTGCACTGTTCATTCTTCTGATTAAAGTTTGAACAAAATTGGCCTGAAGTAGCAAGGTTTCTGCTTAGCTCTGTGTATTTTTATAGTTCTTTGGGGGCAATAGTACTTATGTTCATATTAAAATCAGTATTAAGCTTAAATAAGGCTTTCTTTGTTCAAGATATACTACAAAAGATGTGAAGGATGTGGATTATTGTCCATCTATAAATGTCATATCTTTGCAAATCTTATAACATCCCTTGATTATATTTTGTCATGCTTTATGGATGCAAAAATTAAAAATTAAAAAAAAAAAGTTAAACTATATTTGCATGAGTGGGGTTATGGCAGCTTTTTCTGGTAGTAGTGAGCTGTGATAAATTGTCTGATACATGAACTACTTCTTTACTTGAGAACTCATCTGCCTACAGAAGGATTTCAGATGTTGGGGGCAGTGGGTAGATTAATGTAGCAATGTCTGAACTCTAAGAAAGTCACTGCTTGATGTCCTGTTACCGCCGTTTCCAACACAGTATGTTGGTACTTGTCTGCTATTTATCTTAGCACTATTTGCCCTGGTAGTGAATAGATGTGCAGAAATGACAATATGAAGAGCAATATTATCTGAGTAAATGCTTCACTGGGAATGAATCATCGATAGTAGCTGTGTATAGTATGTTAACAAGAAAAGCCAAGCAGTTGTATTAAATTCCCTGCTCTTTATTTAGAGGGCACACAGACTTCTGTGAGGGAATTAAATGCCACACCGAATTTATAGGGGGAGAATAAAGCATGGCAGGGTCACCCCCACCTGTGCTGTGGGTCTGAATGTAACATGACACTTGGAGCTTGGAAATGTTGGAAATTCACTGTTTACTAGCGCAACAACACATCATCAGTAGGGTAAAACTAACCTGTCTCACGACGGTCTAAACCCAGCTCACGTTCCCTATTAGTGGATTTTGTGACACTTGGAAATGGAAATGGAAATCAACATAAGATGAGCATTTAATATTGCAAAATATTTCTTCAAATTTGAGTATGAATGGGATAAATTAGCAAAGTTAAACACTGTGCTTCCTGAGGACAAAAAGCAATTCTTTATTACTCAAGTGTTCTCTGTTGCTTCTCAGTGTGGTTGTCTATATAAGTTTTGTAATAAAAGTCAGTCGTATCAGGCTTTGTTTATTAGTGTGACTCCTAAGCTTTGGTGTTTTTGTGTGAAAGCCAAACAGTGACACAAAAAATGGCTGGGAAGTCCTGAGGTGCTGATTGCTATCTGTTACTAATTATTTGTTTTCAAAGTACGAAAAAACAATTAGCAGTTGCTACACAAGTTAATTTGGCAGTATTTAATTGTGTGGTACTGATCTTTGACTCAGAAAATACATAGGGCAAGCTCTGTTTATTGCCATTTTCTCCCACAGTTTCTTCTTTCAGTTGGGAACCCTAATCTGTGGTATAATGGCAACTTCCAAAAACGTTTCTGCACAGGAAAGCAGCAGTGATCTGGCTTGCTTATAGTTGGTGGGGCCTGGGGACGGGGATGTAGGAACTGAAGTGAATTATACAACATGTGCTATTTTTGCCCTGTGTGTATTAAGGCATCTGTGGCTGTGTGCTAGAAGGGAGAAGGTTGTGAATCTTGCTCGTCAGCATAAAGCAGTATGTGTGTATGTGGTGCACGGCTGTAGTACCAGAGCAGGTCTGAAGTTTCTGTCATGCCCCACAGCAGCTCGTGGTGATGATGGATTCTGAAGGCAGCATTACTGATAGTGCTCCTTTTTGGGGCAGTAAAGCCTTTCTTGCAGCAGAACAGGCATGCACAGTTGGTAGTTTCCTTTACATCTGCATACAAGTTTCCTTATTCAGAAGGGAGCGGTCATCTTGTTTAACGGGCCATAGGGTTTTTTTTCTGTGGTTTAGACATCTGCCTGCTAGGTCAGAGGTTTGAGATTCCTTGCCCATCTATAGCAGGGGTTCAATTTCTTTCTGTGTCTGCATTTTAATCTGGTGACGTGGGAACAATTAATAATGTTTTGGTTGTGTATTTTGATAGATTTTTGACAAGGAAGGTGCTATTTATAGGCATTGTATTGCAAAGGCTGTAGTAAACATTATTTATAAATGGCTGAGATTTTTTTAGTAGAGAAGGCAGTTACTCAGATGGAGAGAGCTCCCTTTTACAATGCTGGAAATGTTGTTCCAAATTAATAATTCTGATAGCAACTAATTGAAAACTTATTTAAATTTGCTTGGTGCCATCATTTCATTTCAACACTGTGATGCCTGTGCAGTGCCAGGACCTTGTCTCTGGGGATTTACATGTGCTTTAGTTGAGTCACAAGAGAGAAGTCCAGTTGTTTTCTCTCATAGAAAGGGCATTGTTATACTTCAGAGAAAGTAAGGCAGGGTGCAAGGTGCATGATTCTTTAAAAAAAAAAAAAAAAAAAAAAAAGTTTTCATGTTTTGAGGCCTGTACTGAAGTTTGAAAATTGAAACATGGAATAAACTGCAGATGTTGTTCCACTACCTCAAACAACAAGCTAAAAATACAAGCTTGTTTAGTGTCTTAGAATGTTACAAAATACAAAAGCAGGCACTTTCAGCCTGAATTGGCAGGAGTAACTACAGCTCTAGATTGTATGCACAGAAATTAAGCTGGTGTGTTCGTGAATAGATTCCCCTTTTATGTTCTTGTATAAATGCTTTAGAACTTAGTGTAAAATTCTTCATGGTTAGTAGAAAAAGCATAATCATTGTGGACTGGTGGAAGCTCTGCTCGTTTGTGTCATATATTGGATTTCAAAAGACAGTTATCAAGCCGTTAGTGGCTCACAAAACAGCCCCTTCACCCCTGCTGCTATTCCTGGCATGAAGCTTCTGTTGAATGGATGAAATCCTTGAATGCATCTATTGCTTAGGATTCTTTCTCACTGTCTCTCAGCGATTTTTGTTGATTATTGTGCACTTATTTAGCTGTATCACTGACTACTTCTATTCTCAGGCTGTCCACATCTGTGATAACATCTGGAGAAACTGTGCGTGCCTGCAAATACATGCAGCTTCTTCACAGGAGACTGTACACTGATGTTAATTGAGAAAGGAAAGCTTGGTGGGCCAGTTGGGATGCTACACCATAGAAATTGTGAATGCACCTCACTGTGGTTGATGCTTCAGTTATGAGCCTCTCAAGATTTTTCTTGAAGATTAAAGAGATGTTCCAGAAAGCAATTCAGCCCCTTACAGATCTAAAGCAGCTTGGCCATGAATTTTTCTTCTGACTGCAGAGGAAATCTAAACGTTTACATTAGTGTTTAAATTTAGGATTGTGCTTTTAACTCGCTTCCTATCCATTTCCTCATGTTTTGGCTTATATTGAACAGCCTTGGAGTGGTTTCGAGTGCACGTTACCTGCTGTGATGGTATCTGCAGAAGGCCATGATTATGCTGCCTTCAGCGATGGATTAGTTATTTATCTCTTCCTATGACTTTTGAAATATCACCAAACCATCACCTGGCTTGTAACTGTACTTTTTGAGCAAAGCCCTCTCACGTTTGCAGAATTCAACATTTCATGTTGGGTTCTGATATGTGTACTTGGAAGTTGTTGCCTGTATTTCCTCTGTCCTACATTCTGTCTCAGTGTTTCAAAACAGACTGTGCACCCACCAAACAGCCAAACTGGAGTATTTTCTGCAGATATCTTTGGGGTTTTCAAGAGACGGATACAGGTTTACTCATACAGTTGAGTCTGGGTATATTTCTGGGTTGGAATTCATGAAAATATTGCTGCTGTGGAAATTTTAGAAAATTATTAAAGCCCCTTCTCTAGGGATTACACTAACTATGGTCAGTGGATTTGAGCTTATAGTTTATTATAGTCAGATCTAATATAGGAGTTTGCTCTTGGGGTAAACATGCATCAATCTAGTTGCCACTGAGTAGGCACACAAAGTACATAAACAAGAAATAAGGAATCTGTAACTCAGAGTACTTGGGACATAATAGGGCAGGGTTGGAATAGTCTGTTCTCTGCAGTGTGGGGAAAGCTGGATCAGTAACAGTATTTTTAATGAAGCCCTTGTTCTGTGGAAGTTCTCTGGTGAAGAAACTTTTTCTAACTTGACACGTTGTATTATCAGATCATTCTTTGTTTGGTGTGTTATGAATATCTGCAAAAGGTGTAACACCAACGGTAACTATATACAGAGCAAACGCTGCAGGAACTTCAGCTTCAGGGTTTACTTTCCGTTCTGAGAGATTTCTAGACTACCTTAAGTTTTGGATGGTACTTAATGTTTAATATTTAAAATCACAGATTTTTCTGACAGCTTGTAAACAAGTCAATGCATTAGTATGCTTGTGCACTCTTTCCTGCTGGAAGATGTTTGACAATGTTTTAGACAGTTCAAAAATATTTAAATAAAATCAGGTACAAGTTTTTGAGTACGGTAGCTTTTCTATCAAGAACCAGACAGCTTAATGTTCTGTCAATTAGATTAGAGTTGAAACTGTCTGAATGTGTTTGATAGCAGACAGCTAACCAAAACTTTTTCTCATTGAATTGGATTAAACTGCTGTAATAAGAACAATTATGTGGTGGTTTGTGGCCAGTTTGCTGACTCTTATTGCTTAAATAAATTTTAAGGAATTTTTTAAGTTTGACCTTTTCTAACATCAGAGAGCAGCAGGAGATTGGAAGTAAACGAACTGACTGAAGACATGTGGAAATGTCAGATTTTCTCAAGCATATAATCAGTGTTGAAAATGGATTATATTAAAGCTGCAGAAGATCTTTGAAACTTCTCAAATCTTTGTTTTTTAAATTAACAGTGTTTAGTTCACATCACTTCTATGTTTTGGTTATGTTCTAGGTGAAACCCTGTAAATTAAGAAATACCAGGTGGTAATTGCTTTCTACATATTTTGATACCCCAATGCTTTAGTTCTAACTATGTATTCTGCTTGCCTAGTAAGACTTAAGTCATCTTCCAGAAACAGAAATAAAGGAGATCCGTGAGAATGTTTTACAATTTCTCTTGAGCTCAGTTCATCTTTCTATTATTTGACTTGCAATGGAAATAAGGAAGGTATAGAGAGACTACAGATTTGTTTCAGGCACTATAAAAGCAGTGGAAATCTTGGTGGAGTATAATAGCAACTTACTCCTGCTGATCTTGTACAGGACCAAAATCTGTACAAAACAGTTCTTTTTTTTTAATTTGCAAATTAATAAAGGTCTTAGTCATAGTTTCATTTCTGGCTCAGAAATGGGAATGTAGCATAAGCTTAGAAGTCAGGTCAGTAAAATATTCACTATAACCTGCATATACTCTGTATAACATCTGTCAATCTTAATAAGGATGTGAGCACGAGTTAGCTGTTAAATACATGTAACACACAGTGTGGTGGTTTTTTTTTTTTTAATTGTAGCAAAATTATATGTAAAACAAAGCAGTAAACTGTACTTTGTATATTAAAAAAAGGAGTAGCAATTTAAGGAGAGCTAGCTTAGTCCTCTTGACAAAAGCTTTAACTTTTTCTTAAAAATAACCTTTTTTTTTTTTTTTTTAAATAATATTTCATTTTTGTTAGATCCCCAGTTGTTAAATTCCAGTTTTACAAATTTTAAATAGATCTATTTTGGTGCACCTACACTACATGTATCTGTGTCGAAAATATTCCTGGAATTGAGTTTGTATTTGTGACTGAGGGGAGCCAATAAAAGCTAATGGTAGCTAATGAAAAGCGAAGACATCTCAGCTGTAATAGACTGGAACTCAAATGGAGGTGACAATTATACACACTGCTTTAACTTATGGAACAAATACATCACAATTTGGAGGGGCAGGGTGTACGTGATGCCTGAGATGTTTCAAAGGATATCACTTAAAACAAAACTTCAGTAAGAGATAGTATGACACAAATGAATTTTTGTGATGCATGGGACTCCTGTCTGAAACAAAAGAATAGAGCCTGAACTGAATTCTTTCTGACCTGAACTTGCCTGCTATCCTAATTTGTGTTGTGAGGAATGTCAGAGTCAATACATCTCCAGCAGGGCTCTGCACGGAAGGGGTGAATGGGACCAAGTTGATCACAATTCTTTTTTTTTTTTTTTTTTTTTTTTTTTTTCTTAACTGCTTAATTGTACCTTAGCTTTATATGCAGTGACTTTTTGTGCTGCCTCTTTCTGAATGATGATAGCCTTGTGTACTTAAAGGGTAATGTCATTTGAGCTTCAGAAAGCATCAAGAAATTAATGGTAAATGTGAACTAGTGCACTGGCATACTGCTTGGACCAAAACAACAAATCAGATGAGTAGGAAGCAGCTTTTTGTTCTCAGATAACAGAATATTCTACATGCCTGGGAGGGACACTAATATTTCAGGTTTAATTTTTAAATAAATAGATCTAAAAACAAAGAACAAAATACTTGAAGGGATTTGAGGTCAGTTCAGTAGATACATTCAGTTATTTGCTCTGTCACATGCTTAATAAAAAGCAAAAGAACAGAATGACAACTTAAAGATAGGGTCAGAAATTCCTGGATTCCATGTAAATGTTTCAAAGCAGAGCAAAACTGGTATGGGTTGTTGGCCTTTCTAGGGAGGTGTGCTGACACCCTGCCAGCACCCAAGTTATTCTTTTCTGGTGTTTTTAATGAGGAAAAAAAAAAAAAAAGCAGTTGAAAAACTGTTCTTTTACAAAATTGGAAAATCAAAGTTATAATACAGTCAGTTCTTAGCCTTACTGGTCTGCCATTAGGAACAGGCCTAGGCTCACTGAAACCAGAAGTAAAATGTAGTATTTACATCATAAATCAGAACAGCTTTTTCTAACACATGACCTTTGTAGTTGGAAAATGCAGACTGCATTTTCACAGATGATGGAATGTTTTACATCCTGCTTCTGAACCAATTCTAAAGTCTTTCATAGTTTAGAACTATTTAACTGCCTTCTTAATCATCACCTTCTTTGAAATGCTCAAACTATTTTGAGTAGAGATGATTGGGAAACCCCAATGGAGGTTGTACAGCTGCCAAATCTGACATGCCAGGAAAGGGAAGGCAGTAATCTGTAACATGGGGCAGTGCAGCCAGGGAGCAGTAGTAGTGTCCTGTAGCAGCTGATGCTGGTCAAGGTGTGCTGTGGCCTTCATTAGTACTTGATGTTCATCTGGAGGGCTCTCCTTTCTCTCCTGAACTACTCAGTGACACATCTCACCACGCAGCCCTCAATGCCTTTGTCCACTTCAGAATCTTCATAATTGATGGTGGAAGCATAATGGCAGCAGGGTTAAGAACAGGCTGTAAAGTTAAATCAATGTATTCTTTACTATCAGGTTTAATTAACTTTTAGGCTGGAAAGCAGAAGCTTAAGGGAAGCTATGATAGACCTCTTTGCAGAACATGGAAGGCATAATGTTTTTCAGGTCTGAGGACCAAAGTTATAATGAAGACAGTAGGTGGCAGAAAAATCAATCAGTTCTAGGAACTGAAAATGAAACAAGATCCATTATCCTGTAGTGTCTGTTTCACCTCAGGCTCAAAAATTCTTGTCTATGGTCCTTTAATGTGTGTTCTGGAAAGAAGGCAGGAAATGGTTTGGATACGTGTGTGTATTTGGTTGCTAGCAAATTGCCTATACTTACTTTAAGCTCTGATTTAAGGCAAACTTATTTTATTGGGAAGGTGAGAATTACTTGTGGTTAAATGCTGAAGAAAGGTCCTTATTTCACTGCTTATAGTGCACTTTAAGAAAGAACATGAGCTCTCTGTACAGTTCAACCACACGTACTCAGAATTACCTTTGATCCAGGCATTCCTAGAGATCTACCTCTAGATTTGCTCTCTTTCCCGACCCCATAAAACAAGGAGGACTTTTGTACTGGGACTAATGCATGCACAGTGGTTAATAGTCATCATGAGATCTTTCATCACTTTAAGGTAAATTCATCTCTATCGTTTTAAGATAAATATAAGACTGAACCATTGCTATTTTGAAGCAGTATTTGAAAATCTTGATGTTTGCCTTTGCCACTGGATAAACCTGCTGGGATGCCCGTGTTTTGTGACCCTTACTGCCTGCCTTTGCAGTAACAGCAGCACTGGGGAGTGAAGCTTGCTCTGCTGTGGGCTGGGTTAGTTACATGCCCACTTTAGAAGGAAGCTAATATTCTTTCTTACTGCTGTATTCCAGTTTATAGGCTTCAGTGCTTACCCACGTATAGCAGCTTTGCCAATACTGTGGCTTTATTTCCATGTCAGTTGTCTGCTCTTGGGGTGAGATGATAAGATGAATATTTCTGTTGAACTCCTTAGTTAACAGTTGATTTAAGTGACTAACAGGCCTAAGGTCATTCCAGAACCTCTTGGGCTTGTAAAGGTTTTCTAACATCTCACTCTTTCTGTACATTTCTTTCTCCCTGTGTTTCTATATGATGGAAAATGGATGTAATTGACTGGATAGACACTTTCAGTATCTTTCACTGTATCTTAATGACTTGAAACATCTTTTGCAAAACAT